CAGGATGAGGGGCCCGAACAACTCACACCACGAGAAGCCCGAACGACTCACACCAGGACGAAGAGCCCGAACGACTCACACCACGAAGAGCCCGAACGACTCACACCAGGAAGAAGGGCCCGAACGACTCACACCAGGACGAGAAACCCCAAACGACTCAAATCACGAGGAGCGCTTTCTCTCCCTCCTCCTCCGCCTCGTCCTTCTCCCGCTCCCCCCACAAGGAGGATGTACAAGGAGGCGGGAGGAAGGAGGAACAGGGGAGATATGCGGGGCCAAGCGGACACCCGCCTGAAAAACACGACTGTCGGCATGCTCCGCAAGAGTTGCTGCTGTGAGATGGGCTGGTGGGGATACGCGAAGCGTAAAGAATTCCTTTTGGTTTGTTCAACCATAACCCTCTCGGCCATCCAAATGTTATCCACCTTCCTGGATCGGAGCGTTGCCCCCTTCGCTCAGAATGGCGCTGCCGCCATCCGACTCGATTCCTCGACGTTGCCATCCCCCGCCGTTCCCCTCCTCCGCCTTCCCCCTGATTCTCCGACTCAACTCGTCAGGTTCCTCCACCTCCACCTCCATGCGCCTCGTCGTCCTCCTCCTACTCCAGCGTACGATGTGGTGGAAACATAATCGAATAGCAGAACATGATGCTCACCAATCCGCTAGCCAACCCCGGCTAACCCTTGCAGCCAAGGAAATGCGCGCCAGAAGCGAGGGTGCCACGGCGAAGAGAATGAAAAGCGGGGAAGAGCAGGACGAAGAAGAATGGAGAGATGAGAGGGAGGACAGCAGAGGGGGAGAAGAGAACAGGGCCTTCTCATCCTGACTCCCTCCCACTTTGAGAAAGGGGGGAGCGGTAGGGGACGGGGGGAGAAGGAAGAGCCGAAATGGGCGGAGAGCGCAGTGCGAGCACGCCCACTGGGGCCACGGGTGCAGCATCCTGTGGGGCACGAAACTCGGGTCCGGCGAAAGGGGGGGATAGCAAATGGGGGGTTTGAGAATCAGCTCGCGTAGCTGATTTTCCTGGCGCCTCCCGGCGCCAGAGGCGGCTATGTATCGAGGAACGGGCCCCTCGGTGGGGCCGAAACCAGCTGCATGCAGCAGATTTCGTAACCTCCCCTTTCCCAATCCCCCCCTTTCGTTCGGCCCGAGAAATGTGTGAGGGGTGAGCCGACACGAGCGGCGGGGGGGGGGGCACGCGAGCACGCCTGCTGGGCCGGGCCACGGGTGCAGCGCCAGGCGGGGCACGGAACGCGCAGGGGGGCGTGCCCAAACGGGCGGGGGGACCTCGTCCGAACAGGCCCTCTGGGGCCCCGGGTGCAGCTCGCCGTGGGGCGCGAGGCGCGCGAGCGGCGTGCCGAAGTGGGCGGGGGGGGGCGGCGACATGGGTGCCACAGAGGCAGCCGGAGCAGCAGCGAGGGGAGGAGGAGAGAGGAGAATGAGGAAGAGAGGGAGGGGGAGAGGAGGAATGGAGGAGGGGGAGGAGAAAGGCGAAGATATGAATGAGGCTGTGGAGGAGGAGGAGGAGGAGGAGGAGGAGGAGGAGGAGGAGGAGGAAGAAGACGCGCGGCAGGAGGCCCCCGCAGAACCCCAATAAAGTCTTCCAGGACGCCCCTGGGCAGCCAGAGGAATGCAGGAGGAGGCACCAGGAGACAGTCGCAAGATCCCAAGCGGAGATGCTGCAACGGATCCATCACGGTTCCCCCGCGGTCAACCCACTACATTAAATCCGGCATTTCGCCATGGACTTCTCGCCGGTTCGTTCTTCATCTTGGGTCTTACTCGAATGCCCGTCTTTGATCATGCTACCTCCCCCAATTCCCCCATTTCCTCCTCCAATGCTTCCTCCATTTTCTCTCACATTTTCTTTGCGCATTCTCACATTCAGCGCTCGCGCTCGGAGCACGACGCAACCGCCAATTGAATATCCCCGACTTTCTCTTCGACGACATCCCGCCCACGACTTGCACGTCCGTGCGCCACGTGCGTGGGAATGAGCAAAATGTGGTCCCACCACGACTTCGGATTTCGGGGGCACCCTTCTGCATATGCCCAAACACTCAAGCGATTGCCCACTGCCCGACGTAAGCCCGACGCCCTCTTCGCGAAGTGTTCCGTTTTGTGCGCGCTGCTTCTGCGACTCTACCGTTGAAATCCCTTGCTGCGCGCTGCCAACGTCGACTCTTGCTTGCGACACCACTCGCGATCCCCCTCCCGTCACCCCCTTGTGCAACAATTTGCGCATATCACGTTCGTGCCCTTCGCGAAATGTCCCGTCTCATTCGCGCTGCTTGTGTGACTCTGCCGGGCGGCTCTCTCGTCGCGCGCAGCGTATGTCAACTCTCGTTGCAACCGCATCGCCACATGGGCGACTCCTTCCGCAATGAGGCCCCGCTCGTAACAACCCGCGCAAACCGCCCGCCTTCCCTTTCCAATGTATTCTGAATCCTGCGCGCTGCTTACGCGGCTCTGCCGCGGGAGTCTCTCGTTGAACTCTCGCCCCAATTTTTTCGCCGCATCTGCCCAGCCCGTCGCGCCTCTGTCCCCTTGGCACAGTCTGCGCATACCGTTCCCTTGACTATCTGTCCCGATGATGTTGCATCTGGTCCGCGGTCAAATGCTTCGTGTCCAAGAATCCCACCACAACCTGCACAGCACGTCAGCGGTTTTGACTCCACCTCAGATTTCCTCTTGCGATATGTGTTCCAGGAATTCGCTCGCATTTCCGACAGAGCCTTTCCCCAGCTGCGTTGCGTGTTGTTTCTGCGCCTCCGACATGGCGCTTCACTTCAGAAAGCACCATGGCCCATGGCCTTGTCGCTCGAACGCTGGACTGCGCCTACTCTCTCTTCCCACTTGACGTTGACACTGCGCAAATTCCGCGCAAATCCCGTTTCGCTTTGAAATGACTGCACTTCGCGCAATACGTGGGTCCGTCTCATGTTCCGCTCCTCCGCGTCGCCCGATCCCTCGCCGTCTCCGCTGCCACCATGACGCTTCGGTACGTCACCCTCCGCTTTGGTTGCCCATGCTCTACACGCCTTGCCATTTCTCAGCCGCGCTTTTCTTTTCCGCCGCGCAATCTTTACAGAACGTCGGCATGCGTTTACCGAACAATGCGTCAGGAAGTGCACTGTCTCGTTACAGGACCGTATGAAGATGGAAGCCCAAAGATACTCCTCACAGAACTGGCCCAAAACGATTGCCCCAAAGTGCACCCCAAGCTCCATCAAACACGTGGACGTCTTAACCGAACGACCTCAACTTTTAAAAAAAGGCTGCGTGCTTATCCGGAATCTTCCGATCTCTTGGGGCCCCGCAGGCGCGTGAGGTCCGCCCTCCCCGCCAAATATCCTCCCCCCATCGAAACGTGCAAGAGGCCCAAGAGAGGTCCCCTAAAAACCCAATCAAGGCCAGTAGAGCTTTCCCGGGACGCCCAGACAAGACCATAGAACACCACCTGTCACAAAGGGGTGCGCGGTTCGAGAAGAAGAGCTAAACCGGACGGTAACCCAAACCTTCTGAACAGACCTCGCCCGCACCATGATGCCCACAACGACTCGATATACCCAAGATGCCTCAAAAGCACACCCAGGCCGACCGAAACAGGTTCCAAAAAGACTCCCCAGGAACCCAAGAGAGCCCACCGCCGGCACCCCAACATGAACCCCCGGGAAGCAAACATTGCCAGAATTCTGTCAACGTGCCCTGCATCGCTTTCGGGGCGTCCAGAGCAGCCGCGGGACCCCCAAGCGAGCCGCAATGCTTCAGCCACCCTTCGAAAAAACCCACGAGGATCTCTTCTGCATGCGAAAACATCGAGAGCAACAAAGTGTGAGGGATTGGCGGACGTAGCGTCATCCTACAGAACCAGTATCATCAACAACAACAACAACAACAACAACAACAACAACAACAACAACAACAACATTAGATACGTCGTCGTCGTCGCCAGCATCATCATCATCATCATCATCATCATCATCAGCATCATCAACAACACCATCATCATCATCAGCAGCCGCATCATCATCATCATCATCATCATCATCATCATCATCAGCAGCAGCAGCAGCAGCAGCATCAGCGTCAGCGTCAGCATCAGCATCAGCATCATCATCGTCATCATCATCATAATGAGCATCAACACCACCCGCATCACCATCATCAACATCACCATCAGCAGCATAATCAGCAGCAGCAGCAGCACCACCATCATCATCATCACAAGCAGCAGCAGCGTCAGTAGCAGCGTCATTATTTCCACCAGACTCAATAGAATGACAGTAAGCATCGGAGATGTCATAGTCATGATCATCATCATAATTATCAGCATCACCATCATCAGCATCAGCATCAGCATCAGCATCAGCATCTTCGTCATCAGCGTCGTCGTCATCGCCATCAACAAAGCCGTCGTCATCGTCGTCATCATCATCATCATCATCATCATCTCCGTCATCATAAGCATCACCATCACAAACATTATCACGGTCACCACCACCACCACTTGAATCATCAGCATCAGCATCACCAGCATCATCATATTCATCATCATCTGCATCTGCATCATCCTTATCATACAAAGACGTCAGTATCATCGTCATAGCCCTCGCCATCGTCGTCGTCAGAATCATCATCATCGTCGTCAGCATCATCAACAACATCGTGACTTCGTCCTGACCTCCGCCTCCTCCTGGTCCTCCTCCTCATGCTCCACCGCCGTCTCCTCCCTCTCCTGAAGGAAGGAGAAAGGAAGCGGGAGGGTGGAGGAAGGAGAGGAGGAGAGCCCCGAGGCAAGAGGGAGAACGGCTAAGACGGAAGTGGGAAGAAGAGAAAGACGATCGAGGAAGAAGGGAGGCGAAGGGCACACTTTTGCAAAAACGCCAGCACTGCTCGCTGAAAACTGTGCTTCCCCTTGCGGGCCCGCCTCCCGAGACACCTGCTGGCTCCGCCAGGGGCCTGGACGCCTCGCCCCGTGCTGCAAGAGGGACCCCGACTCAGAAGCCGTTGCGACCCCACACGACCAAGGCGATGGACATCGTGACGGTGGAGCAAATGAACACCTTCCCGGGGTGCCACTGCCCATGCCTCCCTCCATCCGTCCCTCCCTGCCATGCGCCTCTTCACCCATCCTCCACATGCCTTCTCCTCCTCCTCCTCCAGGTCCTCCTCCGCCTCCTCCGCCTCCTCCTCCTCATCCTCCTCCTCATCCTCCTCCTTCTCCTCCTCGCCCTCCTCACAGACCTCCAGCCCCCTCCTCCTCACCGACCTCGCCGATCTCTGTCTCCACGATCTCCTCATCCCTCGCTCTCGGACAGCCTCCACCTTCCTCCTCCTCCTCCTCCTCCTCCTCCTCCTCCTCCTCCTCCTTCTCCTCCGCCTCATCCTTCTCCTTCTGCTATAACAGATTCACCCCGACATCTCTTAGTTGACTCCTCCTCCGCTTCCTCCTTTTCCTGCTCCTCCTCATCCTCCTGCTACTCTTGCTCCTCCTCCTCCTCCTTCGCCTCCTCCTCCTCCGCCTCCTTCTCCTCCTCCACCCTCCTCCTCCTCCTCATCCTCCTCCTCCTCCTCCTCCTCCTCATCATCATCATCATCAGCAGCAGCAGCAGCATCAGCATCATCATCGTCATCATCATCATCATCATCATCATCATCATCATCATCATCATCATCATCATCATCATCATCATCATCATACTGATCCACAAGTTCGTTTCCCTCCTCATCGCAATCCTCATCTTCATCTTCATCACCCACATCATCAACATCATCAGCATCATCAACATCATCATCATCAGCATCATCAGCACCAGCATCATCAGCATCATCATCATCAGCAGCATCATCATCAGCATCAGCATCATCATCATCACTTAACAGCAGCATCATCATCAGCATCAGCATCAGCAGCATCAGCATCAGCAGCATCAGCAGCGTTACCATCAGTAGCATCATCACCAGCGTCATCACCATCAGCATCAGCATCATCCCCATCATCCCCAGCATCACCATCATCATCATCATCATCATCATCATCATCATCATCCCATCATCATCATCAGCATCATCAGCAGCATCATCGGCATATGCATCATCATCATCAGCATCAGCATCCTCATCATCATCATACTCATACTCATACTCATCATCAGCATCATCAGCAGCAGCATCGTCAGTAGCAGCAGCAGCATCATCATCACCGCCATTATCATCAGAATCAGCATCATAATCACCAGCATCATCGGTATCAGCATAATCATCATCATCAGAATCAGTATCACCATCATCACATGAGCAGCAGCATCGACGCCGTCATTATGCATGCCATCATGCGCATAATCATTATAATCAGACTTCTCGCATCACCACCATCCTCGTCATCATCAGAACATCATCATCGCCATCGTTATCGTCATCATCTTCATCATGTTCATCAGCATCATCATCATCATCATCATCATCATCATCAGCATCATCACCAGCTTAATTCTCACCACCATCATCGTATTCATCATTCATCACCTTCACCATCATCATCAGCATCGCCGTCATCGTCGCCCTCGTCGATCGTTAACAACAATATCATCATCGTCAGCATCAGCATCGTCATCAAGATCATCACCGTCATACTCGTCATCATCAATATCAGTATCATCAGCCGCATCGACAGCATCATCAGCATCATCGGCATATCAGCATCATCATGAGCATCATCGTCATCATCATTATTGTCAGAAGCAGCAGCAGCATCGTCCTTCTCATCATCATCATCATCGTCATCGTTATGGTCATCATCATGACACTCGCATCATCAGCAGCAGCATCATCATAAGCAACGGCATCATCACCCGTATGATGAGAACCACAATCGTCGTCACCATAATCAGCATCCTCATCAGCACCACCATCATCGTAATCATCAGCATCACCCTCGTCCTCCTCTCCCATCTTCCTCATCCTCCGAATCATCATCATCATCATCATCATCATCATCATCATCATCATCATCATCATCATCATCATCAGCATCTTCTTCCTCATCCTTGTCATCATCCAGCATCAGCATAATCATCATCAGCAGCAGTAGCAGAATCACCATCATCACCATCATCGTCATCATCGTGTTCCTCCTCATCAGTATCATCCTCCTCCTCCTCATCCTGCTTATCATGCCATCAGAACCGCCACCATCATCATCAGCATCAGCATCAGCATCAAAATTATCAGCAGCATCATCATGATCATCATCATCACCCTGAGCGTACGCATCTTCATCATCATCATCATCATCATCATCATCATCATCATCATCATCATCATTAGCAGCAGCACCATAGTCATCATCATTATTGCCATCCTCGTCACCAGCGTCATCCTGCGCCTCCTCGTCCGCCCACTCCATCCTCCCGCGTCCTCCTCCTCTTCACACTTATCCACATCGCCGGTGTCCTCCGGATCAAGACCATCAGTATCAGCATCGTCATCAGCAGCAGCATCGTAATCATCATGTGCATGATCAACATCATCACCACCACCATCATTGTCATCATCGCCCTCATCGTCATAGTGATCGTCATCATCATCATCATCATCATCATCATCATCATCAGCAGCAGCAGCAGCACCATCGTCCTATCATCATCATGATCAGCATCGTCATCATCGTCAGCATCGTCCTCATCGGCAACAGCCTCAGTACCGTCATCGTCAGCATCAGATGCATCATAATTAACATCATTATCAGCATCACCGTTGTCAGCGTCATCGTCATGGTCATCGTCATGGTCAGCATCATGTCACAATCGTAATCAGAAGCGACATCAGAAGCATCAGCATCAGCGACATCACCCGTATAATCATAACGACGATCGTCGTTACCGTAACCATCAGCTTCATCATCACCACCATCATCATAATCAGCAGCAGCATCCTCATCCTCATCCCCCTCCTCCTCATCCTCATCCTCATCATCATCATCATCATCATCATCATCATCATCATCAGCATCCCCACCATCATGATCACGCCATCAGTATCATCAGCATCATCATCCTCAGCATCCACATCAACAGAATCATCCAGATCGTCAGCATTGTCATCATCATCCTCAAGATTATTATCATACAATGTCTCATGATCATCCTCATCATCACCACCACCAACACAACTACCGCCATCAGCATCATTAGCATCAGCACCATCATCTTCATCATCGCCAGCATCATCATCATTATCAGCAGCAACAGCAGCAGCAGCAACAGGAGCAGCAGCATCATCATCAGCAGCAGCATCATCAACAGCATCAGTATTCATCAACATCATCACCATCATCACATCCACCACCACTGTCATCGTCATCCTCCTCCTCATCATCATAATCAGAATCATCTTCATCATCATCATCATCATCCTCATCATCATCATCATCATCATCATCATCATCATCATCATCATCCATATCATCATCATCATCATCATCATCATCATCAGCAGCAGCAGCAGCATCAGCAGCAGCAGCAGCATCATCATCAGTATCGCCATCCTCGCCATCAACATCCTCCTGCCTCCCCTCCTCCTACGACTCCCTCATCCTCATCACCCCACTCCACTCCATCGGTCCCTCCCGTAGCAGTCTTGCCTCAAGGCCCTCTCGGCCGCCGCCGCCCTCCGGGGCGGCCCCACCTGGCCGCCGCTCGCCGGCCGCCGCTCGGCAAACGCGTGCCACGAGGGGCCGCGGGCGGGGCGCCCGCGGCGCTCGGGGCCCCACGAGCCCGACGGCGGGCGGGCGCGAAGGGGCCCCGGCGCGGCGCGACGGCGGCACGCCGGCCGCGCGGGGCGGCGCGGGGAGGGGGCCGAGACTCGCCATCGCTCGGACGTCCATCCCCTGTGCTTTTTTCGGTTTCGTGCGTGGTTTTGTCGCCAAATGATCAAGGATGCTCCTCGAGGGTCCTCGCCGAAGGAAAAATGCACACGTCCGAGCGATGCCAAGGAGACGGGGAGAGGGCGCACGGGAGGGCCCAGGGCGGTGCCCCCGCGGCGGCGGCGGCGGCGGCGGCGGCGGAGTGCCGCACCGGGTGGCCAGGCGCCGCACGGGCCGCGCGGGCGTCGCGTCTCGCGGGCTTCGGGGGCCCGCGCTGCCGGGCGGAGGGCCTCGGCGGGGCGGAGGTCGGCGTGGCCTTCGCCGCGGGAAGCCTCGTGGGCCGGTTCGCCGCGACGCTCGTCGGGCGCACTGCCGACCGCCTCCGTGTGCCTCAGGTCTCCCGCGGCCAGTCACGTGCGCTGTGCGGTCTGCGTTGTGCTGGACAAGCTCAGCTGTTCCATGCAGCTCGTGCATGCGGAGTCGCTCGCGCGGTGTGATGGTGTGTTTGCGTGCAGGATGGCGTTCAAAGCCTGCAGCAGATCGGCCCTCGTCCTCCTGGATTGCCGCGTGATGATCTGTCGAGTCGAAGCCATCCTCGCAGTTCTCGTTTCTGTCGTGATGCCATCCTGATGCCTTCTCGCACTCCGCCCCGATGCCATCCCGCTCGAAGCTCTGAGCGGCCGCAAGCGACATGAAGAGGAGGGGCTCTATGGCGCCTGATCATGGGCAATCATGCACATTGGGCTTGGAGTGTCGATTGAAGTTGCTGGGCGTCCCGTTCAGCACAGACTGATGGTATGTGTGTTTCCTTGTCGATTGTGTTGGTGACGGGTGGATTGCCCAGTGCGCCAGCGCCAACTTCCCAGGAGGTGAGTAGCGGTAAGAAGCCGACTGGATCGGTGGCTCTGGTCGACAGTTGCGCTCTAGGTATTATGCTCGCGGAGTGGTGGTCACATCAGATTGCGTTGGGTTGCTTAGATATTGAATATCATGGTGCTGGGGTATGGAACGATTATCGTAGAAAATCTAAACGAATCGACCATTCTCAACATGACAACTCCATGATCCTGCTATCTCATGCTACCTCATCCGGTTACCTCATCCTCCTCCTTCTCCACTCCTCCTCCATCGTAGTCATCCACATCCTCCTCCACCACCAAAGCGACCTCCTCCTCCTACTTACCCTCATCCTCCTTCTCCTCATCTCCCTCCTCCTCCTCCATCCTCCTGTCGATCCTGTCGACCCTTGAGGCAATCACCCAGTGACTTACCCAGACCATGGCGAGACAGTTGCCAAGATCAATGAACTCACCCCGAAAGGATCATGATAGGGCAAGGACTAAGAGATGTTGTGAATAGAAGGTAGGGCCATACGAGTTGCGGGCCCCACGTGACAGAGTTGAGGCTGCACCGAAGTGCCTGAGATGGAGAGGGGGCAAAGACGGTAGGACGACGATGACCATGAGAAGTGATAACGTCCTCCTCATCATCGTCGTCCTCCTCCTCCTGCTCCTCCTCCTCCTCCTCCTCCTCTGGGCCGTGGCCCGAGATGAGCGGAACGCCGATCCATGCATCCACCGTCCTCGTACTGAGCCCTCGGCTGGACCTCCCAACGCTCAACGGAAGTGGCGACAGTTGCGCAGTTGGCAGCCCCCAGGGATGCGAGGCCTAGTCTTGGGTCGGGCATGTCCTCCTGCAGGCGGACTTTGGAAGGAACATGAAAGATAGTCAAAAACGATCAGAAATAGTCAAAGATATCGAACAATCGCCCCCAGACCATTTTTTCTATTTCAATATTCCTCCTGTAGAGGGACATGCCCGACTTGAGCCTAGTCCGAATCCTTTGGAGACCGCACGGGTCTGGACCTCCCAGGAGCCCACGAACGTGGCAGGAGCTGCACAGCTGGCACAGCCCCTCGGGGAGGGCGAGGCCGCGTTCGGACCCCCTCGAAGGACGCACTCCGCCGGAGCTCCCCCCGGGAGCCCACGAGCGCTGCAGGAGTTGCGCTGCGCAGCTGGACTGGGGCGGGAAGGGTGGGGTGGACGGCCGAGGGAGAGTGGGGGCGGGCGGGGGGCAGGGTGGGACGGCGGAGCGGTGCACGGGTGCTTGGGACAGATTGGATGGGGCGAAGGGGGGCAAAAAAAAGATGGGCCGGAGCGCTCCCCCAGGGAACCCGAGAGGTTCGAGGACACGACGGTTTCAAGTCGGCGGCTTTCCCTGGATGTCGGCCTCCGGGACCCGTTTTCGGGCCCGGGGAGCATCTGGGGCCCGCTGTCGGGCCCGGGGAGCCTCCTCCCCCTCCCTCTCCTCCTCCTCCTCCTCCTCCTCCTCCTCCGCCTCCTCCTCCTCCTCCTCCTCCTCCTCCTCCTCCTCCTCCTCCTCCTCCTCCTCCTCCTCCTCCCCCTGCTCCTCCTCCTCCTCCTCCTCCTCCTCCTCCTCCTCCTCCTCCTCAGATCCAGGTCAGTAATTGAACGGCAGTCAAAGACCAATTGGATCCTGGACGAGAAACCACCTCTGGGGAAGGGGTCGGGACCTCTGGGGCTGCGGATTGAAAAAACTCCGATCGGCGGATGTCTGGGAAGCCCGCAGGGAGGCGAGCCCCAGCTGGGATCCCTTTCGAGTCCGCACTCCGCGGGACCTTCCAGGAGCTCGCGACGAGAGTGACAGGAGTTGCACGGCTGGCAGGCCCCCCGAAGGGAGGAAGTGGCGACAATTACGCAGATGGCATCTGTCGGGGAGCACGAGGCCTAATCTAGGACCGCGTAGCAAAGCACTCCGCAAGGCCCCCAAGGAACTGACGAACGTGACGAGAGTTGCGCGGTTGGCGGCACCCAAGGAGGGGAGGTCTCGAGCGAGTCCGCCCCAGAGAGGGCGAGAGGAGGAAGGAGGCAGGAGTACTCTATTCGAAACGAGAACCCGCAGCAAGGTTGGAAGAACTGTCACCCCACTCCCTTCCCCCGCCCTCGGCCCAAATGGCACCCAGACAAGTCCGGGGTTCTCGAGCACCGGCATGGCCAGCGACATGGAGCTGTCCTCGTGCCGAGGGCACTTGGCGAGATCGGGCGAGAGCAGGCTACACACGCAAACACACACGACTCCGCGTACATGCACACACACACAAACACACACGCACACACAGTCCTTCCGCCCTCCGACGGCCTTGTGGTCCACTGGCACATGATCAGCCGTCGGGGCACTAAGGTGGTACGCCTTGGTTACAGGGCGCTTGCAGGGGGGGGGGGCGTCCAAGAGGGGAGTTCACAAATCATGGTCCAAGGCACGTGCGCGGCCCACGGGGCGTGTCAAAACACAAGAAGGTGGGCATGACATCTGGGCAGATATCATGGCCCCGGCGACGATGTCCATCCTCCCTTGGCATCGCCTCCCTCTTGGCAAGGGCGAAGGGCAGGCGACGACGCGCAGGAGCCCAGAAATGCAGGGCGCGGCCGGGAGACGGTCAGCGCTCGACGGAGAGGCACCATAGCCGGGGACTATCCCAAGGAAAATCAAGGAGAGGCGGGAAGAAGTGGACGCGGGATACGAACAGGGCAGGACTCTCAATTTTTGAGCGCACGCGGCCAGGGCGAAGAGCCACCCGGGCGGTCCAAGGTCACCATACCATACAGCACCAAGAACGAGCAGTCCAGACGCACACACACACACACACACACGAGGAGTCCTGTTTGAACTGCGGAGGAAACGCACGCAAACACATACATATATACATATATACATATATGTGTGTATAGATCTGCAAGTGTGTATACATATATATATATATATATATATATATATATATACTAGAACCACGCGCGCGCTTCGCGCGCGCTTAGGTTCTAGCTAATTAGGATCGTCACCGTCGATCTGCGGCGGCGGGGGAAGGCCCCGAAACGAAGAAAGCCCCGAACCGCACCACCACCACGACGAAACGGCCCCCGCCCAAAACGTCCGAAAAGCATTTGTATTGGTTGTTGCGTCGCCAGGAGTTCTGGGCTCCCTCCTCCTCGTGTTCCTACCTCCTCTCTGGACGTCCGATGTCGTGATGTTTTCTGTGCGCGGCCCCTGGACCTCTCGACGACTTCCTAGGGATGGTTTTTACCTAACAGCGAAGACTGATAGGTTTCTAGTGGACTCAAAAGAGCTCACAGATCACTCCACAGGGGGGTCCGGGCAGGTGTTGGGAGTTGCCGGGCGGCAGGGTGCCCCGCTCGTTTTTCACCAACAGTCACACACTTCGTGCTCTTCGACTTCCCAGAACTCCATTCCCAGGCCACATTCTGGAGGGCCGGATGCAACAGTCACACACTTCGTGCTCTTCGAGTTCCCAGAACGCCATTCCCGGGCCACATTCTGGAGGGCCACTTCGTGCTCTTCGAGTTCCCAGAACTCCATTCCCGGGCCACATTCTGGAGGGCCGGATGCAACAGTCACACACTTCGTGCTCTTCGAGTTCCCAGAATTCCATTCCCGGGCCACATTTTGGATGCCCGGAGCCAACTGTAGGCCACTTCCTGCTCTTCGATTTCCCAGAACTCCATTCCCGGGCCACATTTTGAATGCCCGGAGCCAACAGTAGGCCACTTCGTGCTCTTCGAGTGCCCAGAACTCCATTCCTGGGCCACATTTTGAATGCCCGGAGCCAACTGTAGGCCACTTCGTGCTCTTCGAGTTCCCAGAACTCCATTCCCGGGCCGCATTTTGATGCTGATGCAGAGGCTGAGAATGGTGATGCTGATGCTGAGGCTGAGGCTGAGGCAGGCAGGCTGAGGCTGATGAGGCTGAGGCAGGCTGAGGCTGAGGCCGAGGCTGAAGGCAGGCTGAGGCAGACGCTGAGGCAGGCTGAGGCTGAGGCAGGCTGAGGCTGAGGCTGAGGCTGAGGCAGGCTGATGCTGAGGCAGGCTGAGGCTGAGGCTGAGGCTGAGGCAGACTGAGGCTGAGGCAGGCTGAGGCAGACGCTGAGGCAGGCTGATGCTGAGGCAGGCTGAGGCTGAGGCTGAGGCTGAGGCGGATGCAGGCTGATGCTGAGGCAGGCTGAGGCACAGAGGCTGAGGCTGAAGGCAGACTGAGGCTGAGGCTGAAGCAGGCTGAGGCTGAGGCTGAGGCAGGCTGAGGCTGAGGCTGAGGCAGGCTGATACTGAGGCAGGCTGAGGCTGTGACTGCGACTGCCGCTGCCACTGCGACTGTCATCGCGAATGCGACTGCGACTGCGAGAACAGCAGAACTCTACAACTGGATTCTCATCTGAATCTTAAGGGGAATGCTTCCATATATGCTTCTACACATCGCTGTTAGGTTGCTTTGCCGGGATAATTTTTTTCATCCTGAGTCGTTTTCTGACGGTCCCGGGACCCTGCGAGGGGCCCCGGAGGCCGAAAATTTACAAAAACCGCCGTCGTGATTTTTCCAAGACGTCGGAGGTCCAGGTCGTTCGTCCCGCCTCCCCAGACCTCCGACGTCGTATTTTTTGCGACCTCGGGCCCAGGAATCGATTGGGAAAACGCACATGGGAAGGCAAGAAATGATGGACCCATCATGTCGTAACTGTGCCTTGATCAGTGGGACGGGCTTCGCACCGCCGCACATCACAAGACACGCTCCAGCGGATCCAGCCATGGCGGCGTCGGGGACTGCAGAAGGTCGCAAGGACACGGAATCTGAAAGGAAGAGAGAGAAAGATAGAGAGAAAGAGAGGGAAGAAGGCCAGAGAGCGCTGAAAGATACAAATACTGGAACCCTCTTGGGATTTTTTGGGGGGCCTCGTCCGGCCGCTCGCTGGGAGTTTGACGTAGCTTCTCGGGAGCCTCTGAACCTGTCGGGGGCCTCCTGGAAGCAGGTTCGAAGCATTTTGGGGGCCGATTTGGGGCTTCTCGGGGCCTCCTTTGGGCCTCTTGGGGGTCTCCTGGGGCCTCTTGAGGGGCCTCCTTGGGGCCTCCTGGCGGCCTCTTGGGGCGGAAGGCTCGAGCTTGCGGTTCGTGGTCCCCCTCTGGGCCCCCTCTTGGGCCCGTCTTGGGGCCCTCTTGGGCCATCTTGGGCGCCTCTTGGGCCGTCTTGGGGCCCTCTTGGGCTGTCCTGGGGCCCTCTTGGAAGCTTCTTGGGCCGTCTTGGGGCGGTCTTGGGCGCCTCTTGGGCCGTCCTGTAACGTCGGAAAGCCCAAAAGGCGACTTTGTGAAAAATGTACGTTTTACGAAGGGAATGGGCCAATTTTTGCGTCTAGGGGCCCTCTTGGGACGCATGTTGGAGGCTTCTTGGGGCGTCTTGGGGGCGTCCTTGGACGTCTGGGGTCTCCTGGGGCCTCTTGAGGGGCCTCCTGGGGGCCTCCTGGCGGCCTCTTGGGGCGGAAGGCTCGAGCTTGCGGTTCGTGGTCCCCCTCTGGGCCCCCTCTTGGGCCCGTCTTGGGGCCCTCTTGGGCCATCTTGGGCGCCTCTTGGGCCGTCTTGGGGCCCTCTTGGGCTGTCCTGGGGCCCTCTTGGAAGCTTCTTGGGCCGTCTTGGGGCGGTCTTGGGCGCCTCTTGGGCCGTCCTGTAACGTCGGAAAGCCCAAAAGGCGACTTTGTGAAAAATGTACGTTTTACGAACGGAATGGGCCAATTGTTGCGCCTAGGGGCCCTCTTGGGACGCATGTTGGAGGCTTCTTGGCGCGTCTTGGGGGCGTCCTTGGACGTCTGGGGTCTCCTGGGGCCTCTTGAGGGGCCTCCTGGGGGCCTCCTGGCGGCCTCTTGGGGCGGAAGGCTCGAGCTTGCGGTTCGTGGTCCCCCTCTGGGCCCCCTCTTGGGCCCGTCTTGGGGCCCTCTTGGGCCATCTTGGGCGCCTCTTGGGCCGTCTTGGGGCCCTCTTGGGCTGTCCTGGGGCCCTCTTGGAAGCTTCTTGGGCCGTCTTGGGGCGGTCTTGGGCGCCTCTTGGGCCGTCCTGTAACGTCGGAAAGCCCAAAAGACAACTTTGTTGAAAATGTACGTTTTACGAAGGGAATGGGCCAATTTTTGCGTCTAGGGGCCCTCTTGGGACGCATGTTGGAGGCTTCTTGGGGCCTCTTGGGGGCTCCTTGGACGTCTGGAGGCCATCTTCAGCATCTCGGAGCCCTCTTGGAGGCCTCTTGGAAGTTTCTTGGGCCGTCTTGGGCGCTTCTGGGGCCGTCTTGTCTGACCGGGGAGGCCTCCGGCAAGCCCCGACGAGCCTCCGGGCCCCCCGGGGTGCACATTTGCGGTCGGGGTCCCGGCCCGGGGCCCCCGGACCCGGTGCGCCGTTATATGTATATATGTATATATATATATATATATATATATATATATATATATGTATATATATGTATGTATATGTGCGTGTTGGCGTTGCGGCCACGCGCGCAGCAACGCGGCAGAGTCAGGCAGGCTGCAGAGTGGAGACAGGCGCGCGTGGCGGGCCAAGCTCAGCGGCAGCAGGGCATGCAGGGTTCACCCACGGGGAACCTCGCTGCACGACTCAGTGTACACAGACACACTGTTTCGGGCGCAGCCAGCTGGAGCAATAGCCGCTCAAGCGCTCCGGGCACTCAGTCTGGCTAAGACGGGCTGACCCTGGGCCGAGCGAGGCTCCCAGGAATCCACCCTGGCCAGCCAGCAACTGCAACGGGGGAAGCGCCTGCCCCTCGCAGGCACCAGTGGCTGGGGGCGGCGGGCAGCGGGCAGTGGCGAGGAGCAGCGGGCGGCGGCGCCCAACGGGCGCCGACGGGCCGAGCCCCTCACGGGGCAGAGGCGGGGTCCGCCGGCGGCGGTCAGTGGCGGGCAGCAGCTGGCGGCGGCGCCAGACGGGCACTGGCGGCGCCCGCGGGCGGCGGGCAGCGAGCAGAAGGCCGCAGCGCCTAGCGGGCGAGAGCTTGCCGAGCCTCTAAGGGGCAGCGGCGGAGCAGGGCAGCATCGCAGGGGCCGACGACACCGGCGACAGCGACACCGCGGCGTCGGGGAATGGCGACAGCCGACCGAGGAAGACAAGCACGGTGAGCGTGCATCGGAGTCGCGTCGAAGCTGCAAAATAGAGAACGTATCACCCAAACACACACACACACACACACACACTTTTTGGCGTCGCGGCCCTGCACGCACACACACACACACACACACACACACACACACACACACACACACACACACACACACACGCACACACACACACACACACACACACGCACGGGCACGCGCGCAGACGCTGACCAACACTTCTACTCCGCTTTATATTAGCCGCAGTGGCGCGGGCGGCCAGGCTCGCGCCACCAGGCATGGCCGCATGAACGCTAGAGCAAGCGACGACAAACAATGAGCGATATGCAAAGGCTCAGGAATTCTCGCAACGTCCGCCGTCGGCTACGATACCCGACACTGTTAGTTGGCACAAGTTGATGAGACATCCCAATTCTCTACACAAAGCCACGGCTTCCTCCACCGTGCAGTTGCAGCAACAGATGGTCGTTCGCATCCGAGACACGGACGCGAAAACTGCACACATACACATGTGACGATTGCGCTCCAGCCGAGAACCGTGTGATGCTGGGTGAGGAGCACACTCACACGAGCATGGCAGGAAAACAAGACGCAATAGAAACGAGGCCAAGCGACGTGGCCGTCCGATGCCGACAGCCCGTGGACGCCTGGGTCACCTGGGAAAGCGGAAAGCCCAACCGTCACTGCCTGGAGAGGTGGAGCCCGCGAGAGCAAACGCGGCCCTTCGATGCCGAATGCCGGTTGACGCCTGAAGTGCCTGCACACTGTTCTGCTCCAATGTGACAATAATGTCGCGGTCGCAACCAGAAGTGTTACGGGTCACGTCGGCAGCGAACTGGCGCAACCCCTGTTGTGGAAGCGCGTGCGAGCCTGAATCGAATCGTCTAACCACGTGGGGGCGGTTGCGCCCTGTGTCCGTGCCGGTTCTCTCCAGTCGACTCTGTCATGCTTATCTCTTGCCCATCCGCTGCATTCCGTTCCGCCGGCTGGTTGCATGGGGCGAGCACGCTCCTGTGCCCAGGCAGGCTAGCTCGCTCCTCTCCTCCTCTCGCGGGCACCTGCGCCCCGAGTCCGGCGCCCTCCGCTCTTGACGTTGATCGGACTTGGTGTGCTAGCACGAAGCGTTCAGGCATCAAAAAAGACCGACCTGGCGATGCGGTAAGGAGCCATGTGGCCGGGCGGGCGCAGAGATCCTGAGCCCTCCCTCCCGCCTCCTCCGGCCTGCCGCCTGGCCTCCAGCTCTCTGCAGAGCTCGGCCTCCTGGCGGCCTCGCGCTGCCGTGGAGCCCGCCCCGCCCCGCCGCCGCGGGTGGCTCCACCACGTCGCCGAGGGGCTCGGCGATGGGCCGCCGAGGGCGAGACCCACCCGTCTCCCGGGCGGGGTGGGCCGACAGGCCCCCCTCGGCGAGGAGTGGGCGATTTTTTCGGGGCCGGTGCAGCTGCCCCCCCCTGACAGCCATCCGCCCCCGACGCTCCCCCTGGCTGGCATCGACTGGGCCTCCTGTCGTGCTCGCGCTCGGCCCGGCGGCTCGACTCGCGTACCCGTTCGCCCCCTCGCGCGCTTCCCGCGGCAGCCGCACCGCACCGTCGGCGCTCCACGGCGCCCCAAGCTCCCATTCCATCCCCTCGCCCTCCGCGCCGTGCCCCTCGCCTCCTCTCCCTGGCCGCCGCTGCGCAGCCCCTCCCCCGCGCCCCCTGCAGCACGCGGCCGCACGGCTCCACAAGCGCACTCCACTATTCGCAAAGCAACTACTCGCAAATGACCTCGATCCGCCGCGGAGAATTCACGATACGTGTAGTACATCGAGGCGAACAAAAATGCTTCGAACATTTGCGAGTAGGCACTTTGCGAGTAGTGGAGCGCGCTTGGTGAACGGCACACAACGCTACCCGTGCCCGTCTCCCCTCTCTCGGCGGTCGCCCTCTGCCCCCATCGCTGCCCTACAAGCCTGCCGCTCCGATGTTACCCGCCAACGCGCACGGCTTGGCCGGCCGCCCTTGGCGGCGCTGTCCCCCTGGCGCTCTCGCCACCCGCACGCGGCAGCCGCCTTCTCCTCCACTCGCGCCCCTCGTCGTGCTGTGGTCTCCTCCTCCTCCTCCTCCTCCTCCTCTTCCTCCTCCTCCTCCTCCTCATCCTGCTCCTCCTCCTCATCCTCCTCCTCCCACCTCCTCCTCCTCCTCCTCCTCCTCCCCCCTCCTCCTACTCCTCCTCCTCCATCTCCTCCTCCTCCTCCTCCTCCTCCTCCTCCTCCTCCTCCTCCTCCTCCTACTCCTCCCCCTCCTCCTCCTCGCGTCCCGAGGCCTCACCCTTGCCGGCCGCGGCGGCCGAGGGCCGCCTGGCAACCTGTGCCCCTCGCCGGGCCCGTCGCTCGCCTCGGCGACTCCGCTTCCTCGGCCCTGCCGGTCGGCTGCATGCACCCGTTCGTCTTTGCGTTCCCCTTGCCTGCATCTGCCTGCCCCTCGCCTACAGTCAACCCGTATAGTAGGGATGCGCGATAAGGATGCAAGGCCCTTGGAAGCCCATTTCGAAGCTTTCGAGCGGGGCGCGACCAACGAGAGTGGCCAAGGATGCACCGATGAGGCAAGGATGCAAGGATACCCTTGGGAAGGTTGTCCGTCCTTACTATGCGGGTTGACTGTAGGACGCCTCGGCTCTGGATCGCGCGCGGCCACCACGCGTGAGAGTGCAGTTTGGGCCTGCGCGTCCCACATCTCGTCGACCAGTCGGTGCTGCACCATCGCAGATGGGGAAAAGAAGTAAAAACTACAAACAAACAAAAACACTCGCACAAACTCGTGCCCAGCCCCTCACCCCACCCAACCTCACACAGCGCGCGAAGCCGGCGAGGAGGAGGAGGAGGAGGAGGAGGAGGAGGACGACGAGAATGAGCGGACGAAGAAAAGTATTTACAAAACTGTTTCGCGATCGGGGATGTTTGTCCAAGAACGGCTGGAGAAGATATAGCCCAACGTGCCACCGTAGGAATAGACACTTTCCAGCAGCCCAGGGGGCATAAGTAATTACCCGACGACGGAAACATCTATATGAACCATTCTTCGCCCGCGACAACAACGACGAAGAAGAGGAGGACGACGACAGCGACGAGGGACAGAAGAAACAGAAGCAGAGATGGGAGGACAAGACGCCAGCAGCAGACGCAGGAGCGGTAGGCGCAGGAGGCGCAGAACGACCACGACGACGACGACGACGACAAAGACGACGACCACAAAGACGACGACGACAAAGACGACGACGACAAAAACGAGGACGACGACGACAAAGACGACGCCGTGCGGCAGGTCCAGGCCCTCGTAGGCGGACGCCGGCAGCGAGATCGCGGCCGGGGCGGCGGCAGCGGCGACCGCGGCCGCGGCTGCACCTGCCCGAGGGGCGCCGCCGTCGTCGTCGTCGTCGTCGGCGTCGTCGTCGTCGGCGTCGGCGTCGGCGTCGGCGTCGGCGTCGGCGTCGGCGTCGGCGTCGGCGTCGGCGTCGGCGTCGGCGTCGGCATCAGCGTCGTCGGCGTCGGCGTCGGCGTCGGCGTCGGCGTCGGCGTCGGCGTCGGCGGCGTCGGCGGAGACGGCGTCGGCATCGGTGACGCGGGTGCAGAAGGGAGGGAGGGATGGAGGGAGAAGGGAGGAGGGAGAAGGCAGGATGTAGGAGGAGGAGGAAGAGGCGAGGAGAACTCTGCCAGTCCTGTTGGGGGCTAACAGGCTGCGTGGCTATCCCAACCCAACCCGAATACCCAAATTGCGGGTTGGGGTGGCTACGGCTTCCACATGTGTTTTGTTCGATGTTCCCCGACGCCCCCCCCACTGGGAATGGAGGACACAGTGGGACCTTCGAATTGGGTTGGGGTGGTTTTGCGTGCGGTGAGCGGCGGAGAGTTCTATTCTCTACAGCCACTCCGGTGCGAAGGTGTCAGATGTTGCGCGTTCCGGCTCCTCGTCCCGATGTTGAAGGTTGCCGAACGGTCGGCCCCGCCTGGCCGAAGAGCGCCCCGTCACCGCCTTGAAGTCACATCCACTGAACTTTCTTGGGGCCCTGGGACACGCGGATCACGACACACGCCTGCTCCCGAATCCAGAACCCCGTCAAGTTGCAATAAAGTCGCAGTCCCCTGGCCACAGTCTCAAACGATGAGGCCGTAGTTGTGCGAGGCCACACTCTCCTGGCAAATGGCTGTGCGCTCGCGCTCCCGAGGCCACACTCCCGCTCAAAGTAATTATATCAAGCTCGCGCCCCCGAAGCCACAACCCATCTTGCGCTACGATGCACTCGCGCTGACGAAGCCGCAACCACCCTGCAGAATCCCGCCGGGCCGCCCTTCCGCAGCTCGCAACGCATTCGCGCCCCGGTTTCCGGAGCCCGATGTGCAGAGAGGCACACGCTCGCGCGCAAGAGGCCACAACCCCCTTTACGCAGTACATCACACTCGCACCCCCGAGGCCACTGTCCCCAGTGAAGCAAAGCGGGTGCGCACTTCCGAGGCCACAGCACAATGGAAACAGCAACACGCTCGGGCTCCCGAGGCGACAGACCCCCCCCGCAACTGCCACCGCGCTCGCGCCCCCGAAGCCACGATCGCGAGTGAAGCACAACAGTTCGTGCGCACGAGGCCACTGTCCCTTCCAGAGTACGTCTCGGTCGCGCTCTCGAGGCCACACCCCCTGCGCAGATTGCGACGCGCTCGCGCTCCAGAGGCCACGGTCGCCACGACCCTCTGCACGATGCAGCAGGCTCGTGCTGCTGGGGTAACCCCCCGGTGTAACTCCTGGCCATCGCTCGGACGTCCATTTCCTGTGCTTTTTTCGGTTTCGCGCGTGGGTTTTCTCCAAATGATCAAAGATGCTCCTCGATGGTCCTCGCCAAAGGAAAAATGCACACGTCCGAGCGATGCCAAGACTCCTGGCGGCGCGCACCAGGGGGGCGGGGGGAGGGGGGAAGGCTTCCTGGAAGGAGGCCGCATCTTAGAAGGCGCGGGCCTGGCCAATCCTCACTGCGGGTTCGCGCCCCCGACGTCTCAGTCCGCCGTGGGCCGCAGTGTTGTCGCGCGCCCGAGGCCGACGTCCCTCCTGCGCCACGCCGCGCCCGCGGTCCAGAGGCCACGAGCCCCCGCCACGGAGGCTGCCCACAGGCGCTCCCCCCTCCAGGAGCCGGGAAACAAGACAAGGCAGATCTGTCGTATGCCACGATCTGCAGTGGTTCTGTTTTCCCCCCTCCCCGCCCCAAGCTGTTTCCCAAAAACTCGGTCCTGGACCACCCGACGCCAGGAAGCCTCGAAAGCAGCGAGGGGTGCAAAGAACCCACAGACTGTCCGAATCAGCGTCCAACAACAACGTTCCCACTCACGATGATCTGCTGACCACCAGGATCCACCGCACGATGCCCCCAGCACTGCCTCAGCACAGCACCCAAACACCCCAGTACGACCTTGACATATCCCGCGATGACATATGTATATATTTATATATATACATATACACATGTATATATAGATTCCCCAATCAGAGCTTGCCTCTGTAGGGGTCCTAGCGGATTCATATGGCCAGGTTAGGTTTGCCGCCGATTTTCGCCGCACGCCCGGGGTGCCCGGGTGCCCGGGTGCCCGGGGGTGCCCGGGTGCCCGGCCGGGGTGCCCGGATGCCCAGGATGCCCGGGTACCCGGGGGTGCCCCGCTGCACGCCCAGGTGCTTGGGTGCCTGGGGGTGCCCAGGTGCCCGGGTGCCTGGGTGGCCGCGCGTGCCCGGGGGTGCCCTCTAGCCCTATAGCCCTACGCCCTATAGTCCCATAGCCCTATAGCCCAATAGCCCTATAGCCCTACACCTCTAAAGCCCTATAGCTCTATAGCCATCTAGTTCAATAGCCCTATAGCCCTATAGCCCCCTAACCCTGGAGCCCTGATGGGGGGGGGGGGCTTTTCTCCGGCATCATATATATATACACAGATATGTATACATATATGCATATGCAAATACACATGCAAATGCATATACATATACATGTACATATACATATACATATACAAATACAAATGCATATACATATACACATACATATACATATACAAATACAAATACATATGAATATGCATATACATATACATACACAGGTTCATATACATATACATAGTCATATACGTAGTCTTATACAAACTCATATACAAGTACATATGCATGTACATGTACATATACATATGCATATACGTATACATATACATATACATATACACATAAATACACATACACATACACCTATACATATACATATCTATACATGCATAAACATATACATATACACATGCAAATGCATATACATATAGTTATACATGTACATGTACATATACAAATACATATACATATACAAATACATATACATATTCATATACGTATACAAATACATATACATGTACATATACATATGCATGTACATATACATATACATATACATATACATATACATATACATACACATACACATAAACGTATACATATACATAATCATATACATATACATATACGTATACATACACATATACATATACCGAAATATAAATTTATATACAAACGTATACAAATACAAATACGTATACATATACATAGACCCATACATACACATATACATACACATATACATATACATATACATATACACACATACAAATACATATGACTATATATATACACATAGTCATAAACATATACGTATACATATACATATTCATATCCATATACGTATACATGTACATATACATATACATATACATATACATATGCATGTACGTATCCATATACATATACATACACCTATACATACACATATGCATATACATATACCTATGCATATACATATACATATACATATGCATATACGTATACAAATACATGCACATATACATATACATGTACATATACATATACATATATACACATACAAATGCAAACACCTATACATATATATATACACATATATGAATATATATATATATATATATATGCACATACATACAATTACATATATATAGAGAGAGGGGGGATGACCCAGGGCGAAGCCCTTACGCACACATGAAGGGAACAAGGGAAGCGGGGAGCGGCCACCTCGTTCCGGCGCGATGCGGCCACCTGCGCATCGACCCCAGGCCTGGGGCCCTCTCCGCGAGCCTGGCACCTCCTGGCCAGGGAGGCACGCCTGCACACCGGCCCCGCGGGCCCACGACGCGTCCGGCCGCGGTCGCGCACGGCGCTAGCCAGGGGCACGCCAGCGAACAGACACAAGTCCCAGGATTCCCATATATTGGTTCAGACTTTCTGGGGGGGGGTCGTCTCTCCCCCCCCGCTTCCCGTCCTCTCCCATACTCTCCGGGGAATCGACGATTCTCTGTGCCCGTGCTTTTCCCCTCCTGGGCACGACGCTGGAACACACCGCGCTCTGCGAACAGCACCGCTGCCAACACGACGGCGACTGAGCACACGCTATGGGCGCTTGCCGAGCAGATCGCCACACGTTCTCGAGCCCGCGGTCGGTCGGCCCGCAAGGACACTGGGGCCTCCCCGCACCACCGCTCGACTGCAGCGGCGCCTCCTGCAGAACGCACGGCGGCGGACCCTTCGCCCGCGATCGATCCCAGCCGGCATCGGCCGATCGACCATGCCACCCCTGGCGATGGGCGATGCTGCGGCGATTCGTGCGAGATCGGCCATGCGAGAGTTCACTCGGTCATGGATTGCGCTGGTTCACGCGGGTCGGCGCACGGAGGCGACTGCGAGACCAAGACCCCACGTCCTACGATATGCGATATACGGATGCGTTGTACGGGCCATGGAAACAAGTGGCACGTGTGCCATGGCTCTTGCACAAAAAGGAAGGGGGAGGAGGAGGAGGAGGAGGAGGAGGAGGAGGAGGAGGAGGAGGAGGAGGTGGAGGAGGAGGGGGGAAGAGGGGGCAAGACATCGCCCCTCGGGGCCCAGCAACGGGGCCCAAATCCCAGGCGGGGAGAGGGGGGAGGTGCGTCGCGACGCGGAATAAAGCTCGGAGCGGAGGGGCACGGGGCGGAGGTCCCACTGGGGCGCTGGGGGCGCGGAGAGGAGGGGGGGGAGGTGGTGTGCGTCGCGACGCGGAATAAAATGGTCGGGGCGGAGGGGGCATTGGGCGGGGCTTGGGGCAGAGGGCCACGGGGCGGGGGTCCAACTGGGGCGCTGGGGACGGGGGGGGGGGGGAGGTGGTGTGCGTCGCGACGCGGAATAAAATTGTCGGGGCGGAGGGGGCACGGGGCGGAGCCCCCACTGGGGCGCTGGGGACGCGGGGAGGGAGGTGGGGGAGGTGGTGTGCGTCGCGACGCGGAATAAAACGTTCGTGGCGGAGGGGGCAGTGGGCGGGGCTCCC